GAGGAGTGAGCATCTCCTGCTGAGCGGTCACACATATTAAAAGAATGTATTCCTTGATATTGATCTTAACTGTAGAACTTGTGAAATGGATAACTCGGTAACTAAACAAGAGGTCCTAGGGCCTTAACGGTCACCTGAGTATAATTCAACAATTTAGAGGAACCATAGAGTATAAAATAAACTGATGAAATTTTGTTACCCTAAAGCAAGAGAAGTAGGAAGATCAGGATCAACAAAATAATTAGTCTAATATTCAGAATCAATTCATAAATTAAGTTCTTATCTGTCCCCACTTATCACTATCACCATGTAGACTATTAACAAACTTTTAGTGCTCCTGTACTATTTTTAACCCCATACATAACCTTTCAGATTGACCTCTCTTGGTCTTTGAAGAACATTTAATAAGTTATTTTTGTCTCATTTTTATTTATCTATTATTTACAGGTCTACCTGATCTTTAAAACTAGAAAGTACTTTTAGTATTATTCAATAAAAAATCATGCATAATTATCTCATTCTATTAACCTTTCAAATATATTATTTACAGTGATTAATAATCAAAGGTGAATGGAAAGGGGGAATAACTTCTCTCAGTAAAATACAAATTAATAAAGCCCTGTCCAGGTCCAGAATCCCTAATCAAATGGTTCAGATGTTCAAAAATCAGGTAAAAATACCCTTGCTTATTAAAACTCTTACTCAGTTTGCCCCAGATATGCCCAGAAGCAGAGAAGAATTTCACAGGTACAATGCATTTTCCTTTATCATCATAAGTATGCACTTCAAGAATTAACACATTTCCACTATATTATCAACCCCCCGCCCCGTTATGCCAGAACCCCTGTTCCTGGGACCACAAGGTTTTAAAAAAAATTGTTAGAAGCCTCCTTGTTCATCATAACTATGCAATTTGTTCATCTGCTCAACACTCAGGAGCAGACAGGATTAATTAATGGAGTTATGCATTTTCAGCATATTATTATCAATAGAGCCCCACCCTTACACCAGAACATCTGACCCAGGGGCCATGAAACTCACAATTCTGGAAGAAGCAGTCTTGCTTATCATAACTATACACTTAGTTTCTTTGCTTTATAACCAGAAGCAGAAAAGAATATTTTCAAAGATATGCTTTTCCACTATATAATCAATAGAGCCCACCCCCTTCTACCAGAACCCCCAACCCTGGGGCCATATATTTTACAATTTTGAAGAGGCATTCTTTCCTATCATAATCATGCACTAATTTTGTGTAATTAATCTCCAGGGGCGGAGAAGATTTTCAAAGAATTAATGTATTTTCACTATATAATTGATAGAGCTCCACTCTAACCCAGAGGCCATGAAATTCAAGATTTTGGAAGAAGCATCCTTGCTCATCATAACAGTGTACTCAGTTAGTTTGTTAAATACCAAGGAGCAGAGAAGAGGATTTTCAAAGAATTAATGCATTTTCACTATATAATCAATAGAGCCCCGCCCTAACACCAGAACCCCTGACCCAGGGGCTATGAAATTCACAATTTTGGAAGAGACACACCTGCTCATCATAACTCTGCATTTAGTTTGTTGAATACCCATGGGCAGAGGAGAAGATATTTAAGGGATGATGCATTATTATCACTATATAGTCAACAGAGCCCCACCCTAGGACCAGGACCCCTGACGCAGGGGCAATGAATTTCACAATTTAGGTTGAGGGTTCAATGCTTATTACAATCATTCCAACAGTTTAACTGCTTGATGTCCAGGAGTAAAGAAGAAGATTTCTAAAGATTGCATTAATTTTCATGGTTTTGGCCCAACCCCTCAGGCCCAAGAAGGGCAGGGGCCATGAATTTCACAATGTCTGTTCCCTTCACCCATATATGCTATATGCCAAAATTGGTTGAAATTGGTTTACTGGTTCCAGAGAAAAAGTTGAAACTATTCAAAAGTTTACGAACGGCGCACGACGACGGACGAAGAGAGATAGCAATAGGTCACCTGAGTAACTCAGGTGACCTAAAAAATGAACTTTCGAATTTATGCTTCGAACGAATTTTTGAAGACGCACGATTTCTAAATTCCACGAGCTATGTTTGACGTCGTCGCTGTTGCGCCTGCACCTTTTGAATGATCCGTTTACCAAAGAGAAAAATGTTATTTAAAGAGATATATTACTGAAGTTTCGGTGAATTATTCAGATAATGTTGATTTTAATGCATGCCAATTTATAACTTTATAATAATAGTGAAAAAAAAATATTGAAAATGTTCGCGTTTATCTGGGACAACCCTCGTATTTTGCTTAACTTGTTTCATACCAATTGTTAGACCTTTTTTCGTACTAAATCTGACTACGGAGTGTTCCTTGTACTTGATCAATACATAAGGCTCATGGCAGATATGACCGGTTAACAGGGGATCCTTTCTCCTCCCAGGCACCTGATGCTACCTCTGGAATTTCCAGGGGTCCGTGTTTATGACCTGTTCACGGATTTGTATTGTTTGAAGTTTTTTTTATGAGATCGAGTAATGCTTTTTATCCTTACCCTTTTTTCATTAATTCAGAAGCGAAAAAAATTTGGATATATAATATAACCATTATGTATTTGTTCAAATTGACAAAGTGAGAAATGACAAAAAATTCATGGATTCTATAACCACTTTGTACTGGTTCCAGCTAACAAAGCATGTAACAATTTAGTATTTGCTTGAATACATTTTACATGTACAAGTAATAGCTTTTTCAAAATCTTGCCTGACTATGTCATTAATATCTACAGAACATAATTATAAACAAGGCAAGGAATTAATTTCTCCGTACATTTTTTTTGGGGGGGGGGGGGTATTTCATTATCTTCCTTTTTAGGACTTTATACAAAACATCATGATTTTTTTTTTACCTTATCTTCTTGGTGTTTCCCTAAGTCGACAAAAATAAGTAGCAACTGTTCCGTCGCAAAGCGGTCGGCACTTTGAAGAGAAAGTTGCGGGTCTTTCGGATGAGACCTTAAAAACCGAGGCCCCGTGTCACGGTAGGCGTTGGCACGATAAAGAACCCCCACTTCTCAATCGTTCCGAGTGCCGAGTAAAGGTCTAAATTTGAAACCCTTCACCGGTATATGGTGACGTCTCTATACGAGTTAAAAATTCGAGAACGGGACGTAAAACAACATTCAATCAATCAATCAATCTTGGCTACTCATCAGAAGAATGATACTTATTGGGAAGTGAGCATTGAAATAAGATATTTATTGTTTCTCGAGAAAGTATTATAAATAACTAATTAAAATGAAGTAAGGAAGGAAAACAAATAAATGTTATTTATTTATATTAGGATTCTGTCGCTGTGTTTGTTTGTTGTTAAACGTCCCTCTCGAGAATTTTTCACTCATATGGAGACCAGGGATGGGTAATGGAAAAAAGTAATTGTAATTGACTGTAATTAATTACATTTTTCAAAGTAATTGGAAGTAATTTGTAATTGACCATTTTTTCAATTACTTGTTATTGGATATGATTAATTACATTGAAAAAATACCCTGTAATTTTTATTACTTTCAATTACATTTCAATTACTTTATATAATACATATTATGTGTATTAAATAGGAAAATATTTCCAACACAGTCACATTTTACAGTTTAATAATTTAATTTGTTCAAAGCCCTTCTGTTTTTCAAAATCTCTAACTTTTTCTTCATATCTCAGTAAATTAATTTGATATATTGGCTTATTTATAAAAATATTAGTTTGTTTTATAATTATAATGCACATAAAGAATTAATACTTAGTCTAGATCTAGTTTGATGTTTATCAAAAATTTTGTTTTACCTCTCATTGGTATAGACATGGACACATTTAAATTTTTGTTGCTTGATTATCAAAATTATCAAATTGATTATTTAAAAAAAGAAGAAAATAATGTAGTGTGGTATGAGTGTCTGCAGGTGCGACTTAACTTGATACCGTGTGTGATGCGCATGTGCGAGTTGTCGTTTGGTCTGAAGAATTGAATGGTGGTGTACTAGCTGTAGTAGTGAGGGAGAGATCATTCATTACAAATCTGTAAAAAATGTGCGTCCAAATTAAATACTGATAATTACAATCGTTGTCAGTAATGCATATGAGCATATGATACTTCAATAAAATGTGTCATTAAGACCTGCATTTTGCCCATTCAACTCCCAGCTGTAAATTGTTATCAAAACAACCCTCCAAATAATAATTTTATACCATGCTTTGTTTAAATTCAAAGATATGACCAATAGAGGTGATTCATTAAATACTATTAAGAATGCTCTACTATTTATATACTTCAGAAAAGAAATAAATATTGAATCACTATTTTAACATTTAAACAGATCTATTTTAACATTTAAACAGATCTTTATATACATGTATGCATTTGGTATCTGAAATCTATTTTAAACTTCTACGAGAATTTTGGAATTAGCATCAACAAGGTATGATTTACCTGGGCCCATTCTTTTTATCCACGAAATGTCTAGTTTAAAAAAAGATGCATGAATAACTAATCAACAAGTTTCGTGTCCATACGCCCCCTTGTGCCCCATTCCGTTTTATTTTAGAATAGCTAACGAAATTAACAGTCTTTTCAAATGCTTATTTTACCTTGTGCTTTTTAAAACACGTTTTTCTAATATTTATACTATTATAAAACTTTCTTTTAGTCCCAAATCCTGGTCCAATGTCAAAGTCTGTGATAACGAACGAATGCTTAATGGATAAATTAATGATTTTCTTAGTTTTCTTATACATCTTTTTGAATGCTTCTTATCCCATTAATGGTTCATCTCTGTGCAAACGACGGTTAGACTCTGACTGAGATAAAGTAAAGTTTTAAAGTAAACTATTATTGTAATTTGTAACAGTATCGTGTCTCATGATAAACACAATACTGAAGTATCATGAAAGAGTGTTTATCAATTTTGAATCAAAAACGATAAAATGTTGATATAAATTTGAATATATCTTCAGAAACTCCTGAAATTCATTCCACGACGAAAGTTCCGAAGATTTTTCTTCAAGTTAAAGCTGCAGCTTAATGACTTCTGGAATGCGATAGACCTTCTCTCCTACATTTGTCTTGCAATTGCGTTAACTGTCCGACATGCGGGGTACTATGAAAATCTGACATATTCCAGAAGAATATTTGCAGTATCTTTGTTGATAATGTATCTTAGATTCCTCCAAGCTTTTATGATGATTCGTACATTTGGAGCAACTCTAATCATGATTAAAGAAATGGTATGTATATATTAGAATGACTTATAAATGATGTATTCTAAATTTTTTGCCCACTATTTTATTTTGGAAGGCTTTTGTATCATTTAAAAGACATTTCAGTATTGTTTTTAAATATCCCACTCCTACAGTGAAAATATGCATAAATATCTTTCAATTTCACACACACACAAATGGAAGTAAAATCTGAAATACCAGATTTGCATATCGCTTGGAGGCATGCAAAAGAGCATTGATAACAGTTTTGATACAGACACACTGACTAAAGTCTGTTAATGAACTCTTTAACAAGATGTTCAAGGACTCAATGCTCACCTGTGTCTATATTACCCTGCCTTTATGCCCCCGTATCGACGATTCGGAGTATATAGTTTTTGCCCTGTCCGTCCGTCTGTCTGTCGGTTTGTCCGCAAAAACTTTAACTTTGCCCATAACTTTTAATAGGTTGGAGCTATAACTTTCATATTTCACATGTGTATTCCTTGTGACAAGACTTTTCTTTGAGTACCATCATTTTTACCTTGACCTTGGAGTTTGACCAACTTTTGCAAAATTTTATGAGGCTTTAACCTTGGCCATAACTTTTGAACAAGTGGTGCTTGGGATTTAAAACTTCACATGTCTATTTCTTGTGGCAAGACTTTCCTTTAGATACCAAGAATTTTGACCTTGACCTTGGAGTTTGACCTGCTTTTGACAAATTTTAACCTTGGTTAACTTTTGAATAGTTGGTGCTAGGGCTTTCATATTTAACAAGTCTATTCCTTCTGACAAAACCTTCCTTTAGATGCCAATCACTTTGACCTTGACCGAGGAGTTTGACCTACTTTCGAAAAACTTTAACCTTGGCCATAAATTTTGAATGGTTGGTGCTAGGATTTTCATATTTCACATTTGTTATCCTTGTTACAAGACCTTCCTTTGGATACCAACCACTTTGACCCTTTGACCTTGGAGTTTTACCTACTTTTGAAAAAACTTTTATAGTGGCCATACCTTTTAAACGTTTGGTGCTTCGGCTTTCATACTTCACATGTACATTACTTGGGACAAGACTTTCCTTTGGATACCTACAATTTTGGCATTGACCTTGGAGTTTGACCTCTTAAAAATACTTTAACCTCAGCCATAACATGTGAACATTTGGTTCTAGGGCTTTCACGTTTCACGAACATGTGTATCACTTTTGACAAGACCTTCCCTTGGGGCCCTACTTTACTTTGACCTTGACGTTTTACTTACTTTTAAAAAACTTTAACCTTCGCCATAAATTTTGAACAGTTGGAGCTAGGGCTTTCAAATGTCACAGGTATATTCCTCGAGACAAGACCTTTCTTTGGGTACCAACATTTCCGATCTCTTGTCCTTGAGTTTGACTTGCATTTTAGAAACTTTAAACTTCGCCATAAGCTGCCATACGGGGGCATCAGTGTTTCACAAACACATATTGTTTCATGATATTTTCCCCTTAACATTCCTTTAGTAAAAATTTGATTCCCTGTTGTGCCTGACCCTACCACGTGTGTTGGTTTGAACAAACTTGAATTTAAACTTTCTAACGATACTTCCATATTCATATGAATGAACTTGAGAAGATTTGTTAAAATTTTCTCATATATTTTTAATGTGGCTCTACCCAAGCCTGAGGGTTATGATTTGAACAACATAAATCTATACTACCTACAAATGCTTCCCTATATAAATGACTAATCATGGCTCTGTTCTACAGATCTGAAAAGATGATTTTAATCCCTGGCTTTCACATTCTCTCTGTGTGTAACACTTTTGATTTCTGATGATATTTCAATAAGCCTTTGAGCATAGATTGGGCAATTTTCTCGTTATGTTAACAGACTTGCAAGATGTTGTTTCATCAAATTTATATGAAAACCTTACCAAGCTGGCTTAAAGATTTCACATGTCCTTATATCTATGCATTAAATACTATCTAGAAAAAGAAATAATTGGTGTAGACTCAAATGACGAAGAATAATGTTGAAAAATACAAACCAGATTAACTTATCACAATGACGTTAATGTCCTATTCAAGATCAGATTTGAACTTACACATCTCATAAAAAATGGTATTAATGAATCTAAATTCAAAGTGCATATTAATATTGTATATGACTTAGGTTTTATTACACCGTGTATGTTGTGAAAACACCACTCCCGATTTTTTTTTTTTTTTTTTTTTGAATCAGAATGTCCTGTCCTTTAAAATGTGTTCCATACCGCAACACACCTATTTTCTGCACTTATGATACACTCATGAACCATATTTGCATATTTCCCGCCAATGTAACTTTTGATGTCATGAGTGGATCATATGTAATACGTTCTTCATGATGGCTGCCAGTGAAAACAGAAACACTGCATGTAAGTAGCTATTTTCATATGTAGTCAATTAAACTTATCTGTACCGAACATTATTTTCTCCGTGAATGTGAGTATTAAGCTCCAAACAACCAGCAGTTATATTATTAAATATTTAACAAGCTACTTAATTTATACAAATTCCTTATGTTCGGACAAAAGATTTAAAAACATTCTGGGCCAATGCAAAAAATTTCAATACGATCACATTCCGTTTTGGAATATCAGTAACAACAGCGGTACGGAGCTCTGTGTGACGGTACGGAAATTCTATGAATAAAATACTTTAAATTGACTTAAAAGGTTTCTAAGTTAAAAAAAAAAATCAAACTCATTAAATTTGAATGATTTCTTCTTTTAATAGAATGACATGGATTTGCTGAAAAAAGAAATTTTGAAAACTGAAAAAGAAATAATCCTTTTTGATAAACATCATGAAGAAACCTTAAACTTAGTGCAGTGGCACATGTTAGAATTCTACAAAAGACAGAGACAAGGTGGATAAACACACAGAGCTCTGACTACTTACTTTTTAAAGATAAATTAGAACTTTTGAAGAAAGCATGATTTTTTTTGTAAAGATGGGGAAGACAGCAGCAGAGAGGGCAAGGGAATACAGGGCGCGGTTAAAATCGGATCCGAATAAGCATGCAGAATATCTAGAAAAAGAAATATTAAGATATCGGAAGAGGAAAGAAAAGGGGAGCGCCCGTCCATTAAGAGCCTTAGTGAGAGGGCTGCTAGGAAACTGGGCAGAAAATGGAAGGAGGAATAAAAAAAAAAAACAAACAGAAAACAGCAAAAACTCCAAATTTTTGACGTCACCTGTGTCCCCTACGCAGGGTAATACACAAAGAGGAAGGAAGAAGACGAAGCATGAACGACTTAAAATTTATAGAAAAAATAAAAAGCTAGAAGAGGGATTAAGAAAAGCAAAGAAAGAAGTTCATAAATATAGGAAAAGGTGGCAACGATTGTCAAAAATAAAACAAAACAAAATCAAAAACAAACCTGTTCACAAATGAACAGTTCAAGAACTGAACTAAAAAAGATCTTTAAATTTTTTTTACTATACCTAACAATGTTAGAAAGAAATTGTTAATTGACAGTGTGGTCATTTAAGAAATAAGAAGAATGATGGATGAAAAGCGTTTGTTATCTAATATTGTCTCCGACAAAATAATCAAAAAGGATCGCATTATGTCCGTTTCCGGATCAAGATTGGGTGTGTCGGCATGGAGGCACAGACAGTATTCCAGAAATGAGAGAGCAATCAAAAGTAGAAAGGGGCCGATAATAGCATAAGAAGTCAAATAGAATGTTGTTCAGTTTTTTGAAGAAGATATCAATAGCAAATGGATGCCAGGAAAAAAGGATACAGTAACAAAGTGTAAAAAAGAAGATGCAGAAAAGATTACTTTGCGACTCTCTGAAATGTCTATCTTAACTGAAAATGTCATATTAGTCATTTTGTAGATTAAGACCGTTTTACATTGTTCAACACAAATGTTCAGGACGGGACACATGTCCATGTAAATTACACGAAAACATGAAGTATATGTCAATAGGTTTGGCAGAGAATGGCATAATTGAGACATGTGACTTGATAAAGTTGTGTGCAAGAGTCTGTTGTAGCACAGGTGAAAAGCAGTGTAGGTATGGTGAATGCAAGATTGTAAAGGTAGAGAAATGGAGTTTCCTAATGATATGGAAGAAAGCGCAAATTCACAGAAAGTTGTTCCAAAATGATTGAACAAAACAGAAGAGCGGAAAATAGAGAAACCAAATGGTGAATTCCAAAGCATCAATGTTCAGGTAACTGTTAAGGAAAAAAGAAATACTTACATTACATCAGTTAATGCAGGAAACAAACAGTCTGTTGAAAAGAAAATTTTGTAGACAGGTATTTAACGTAAGTCATCAATACACTGTAGTCAAAGAAATGAAATCAGTATTATCTGAAACGGAATGCATGGTTCATGTTGATTTTTCTGAAAATTATGCCAGTAAGTTGGCATAGGAGGTACAGGGCATGTACTTTGGAGCATCAAGACAGCAAGTTTTTCTGCATACAGGCATGGTTTATACACAAATGGAAGCAAGGCCAATCTGTACTTTATCACCAAGCATATGCCAAGACGCTGCAGCGATTTGGGCACATCTAGACCCAGTTCTTCATCAATTGAAACAGAACTATCCAGCAATGGCTACAATTCACTTTTTAAGCGATGTTCCAACAACGCAGTATAGATCCAAGCACAGGCCTTTGGATCGCTAAAATCCTACTTGAATGGGATGTTGAATGGGACTCTTCTGGGATGTATAAGAAAGACCAAAAAAAGGTACCTTACAAAGGGTACCCACTTTCGCTAATAAAATACCTTTAAATCGAATGCTCTAAAATTTACTTTTTATTCATATCTATTTATATATAATCAATCTACATTACTACCAAAGTTCATTCCGAAATTCTGCATACTTCCTGAGATATGCTGAAATAAATTCCAGAGTTGACCTACTTTTTTTTTAACTCGACATTAGCTTGGGCTCCTGGTTATTCACATGTGCACAGACGGTGTTTGAACTGCAGCTAATAGCTGCATAGTATTTACACAATCTTTCAACAT